CGTTTGATTGACACTCAACTCATTAGTATTCCACCAATCACAGCTACATCTACTTTCTGGATGTGCGCAGTCAAATTGTATAGGAGACAAGCTGGAGTCTCGTGTGGCGATAGCGATAACACCGGGACGAATGGTCTGGGGTAAAGGTTAACCATTCTGAATCCAAAACAAAGAACTGTAGTAGCCAAGTTCTGAACAAACAGCCATACTACCCAAAACAATTTTAAAAAATAGTTGTGTCAAATGGCGGACATGAATCCTCACTTAAGAAATAGTAGATGAACTACACACTCATGGAATGCCCCAAATATCTATCATTTTGAAAATATTCAACCACGGTGATGTTAACCATTGAAATACAAAACAATCTCCAAAAATTCATTTGTTGAAAAGCACAGATAAAAATATTAACAAATCATGAGGGGAATTTATAAATAATACCTCCTCAGAAGGAAATAAAAAAAAAACAGTAAATGGAATCTTATGCAATTTTATTTCATTGTTTTTTTTTATTGCTACATACTGATAGAAAAAACACATTAAAGTTATTATTATTAAGGTCAAAAGGCTAATTTATACATTACCTGAACTGTTCAGCTGGTGTGAAATTGAAGTGACTGAGAGAAGCTGCACCCAAACTACCAGAATCTACTGCAGCCTGGCAGTCGCTTATATTAAACTGTTCAATTGGAGTCCACCAAATGTTGACAGCAATGTTTCGAGATATTGACGTTACTTGATGACTCCATCTATAGGAACAAATACCAAACTATTTCACATTAACTGTAACACAAATATCAATTCAACATGAAAATAGACAAGCATCCTCTCGGCTGAGATAGATCGGCTGTCAGCAATGCACATTGCAATTAAAGAATTAAAGATATCATCACAAAATGAACAAATCTGAGAGAGGACCACATGTAGTACCTATATATGTAATATCAAAGCAATTGGACTTGCGGTTTTTAACAAGAAGTCAAAAATATCACTTTTTACCAAAAATGACAAAAATATTCACCAAAATTAGAGAATTAAAGATATCATTACAAAATGAACAAATCTGAGAGAGGTTCACATGGAGTATCTATATATGTAAATATAAAAGCAATTGGACTTGCGGTTTTCAACAAGAAGTCAAAAAAATAACTTTTTACCAAAAATTATTCACTAAAATTAGAGAATAAAAGATATCATTACAAAATGAACAAATCTGAGAGAGGTCCACATGTAGTACCTATATATGTAATATCAAAGCAATTGCACTTGCGGTTTTTAACAAGAAGTCGAAAATATCACATTTTACCAAAAATGACAAAAATATTCACCAAAATTAGAGAATTGAAAGATATCATTACAAAATGAACAATTCTGAGAGAGGTCTACCCAAGGTACATATACACCAAAGTATCAAAGCATTCAGGCTTGTAGTTTTCAAGAAGAAGTTGAAAAAGTAAAACATTTACACGGTCGACGGACGCCGGACGAGACAGACAATCACTCATATGATAAGGTCTGCTCGACAAAGTCGACAGCGGAGCTAAAAAAGGTAGACACACAGAACCAAAAACTACAGTAAAAGACAGAATAAGCCAACACTTTCTATTGACTTGTCAGAAGTATGATACAGAATGAAAAATATTCTTTAATAAAATCAAAATTTAATTAGTGAAATGCTGCAAGGTAGACCTAATTTCCTCATACACAGTCACATCTTTATGCAAAAAAAATGATGACATTTTCCATCAAAAGATATCAACTGTTATAACTGGGAAATCACACACAGCATTGAGTTTATAGAAACTTTCAGTACCACGAGCACACAGTGTCTGTTAAAATCAGCAATGACCAAGTGATTTAAGAACTTCCAAGGTTAACATGATTGGTGTTAGTTGTTTGAATATTGAGTGTATTATGTGTAGCATAGACTTACCCGTAAGGTACATACATACAGTCCCCCGGTGCAAGATCTGCAGACCACCATGGAACGTCTTGAAGACCAGGATAGCGATACATATCAACTTTATCAACATCAACCGCACAGTAATCACCTTCTTTGTGATCAAAATCGACATGATCGATATATTTCTATGAACAGAAAATCAAATCCCAGTCTGGTTATAGTGCAAGCACATTACCATGTGTACCAGATCTGGCCAGTGAATCACCAGCAAGATCTGACCAGTGAATCACCAGCCAGATCTGGCCAGTGAATCGTCAGAATGACCATTTGACCTTGATCTGACCAGTAAGAGTGCTGGTCAGTGATGGCAACCAATAGCCATTTCTTTTAGATCTGACTATTACAGAAACAACTCTGAATCAATGGTGTCAAATTATTAACTACATTTTTTTTTATTTTAATTTTTTTTTTTCAATGAAATTACAAAACAAGGCAATTATTACAAAAATATATTTTAATATACATTTAATCCCAGCAAAAACACACCACCACAAATTTGGAACAAGACAGACCAAAAGCAAATGATATTACTTAGTCAAAGTCATCAAATATACTCAAATATGTTGATCATGCCATGCCACGTTGAATAATCAATACTCAATGGAAACAAATTAAGACATTCACATCCACTAAGTTAGGACATATCGCATCCAAACTGAGCACTTATGACGACTATGAAATTAAAATCTTGTGTAGCTGTAGGCTTCAATTTTTTTTTCAATTTCCATTTTTAATTTAATGTTATTTTTGTTTATTTATGACTATTTCTTATAGTTTTACTTGCTGTTATCAATCTTTAAAAATATCAATGACAATTGAATCCAACCATCCAATCAATGAGCACAGTATGCAATGACCTCATTTGCAAACGTTCTTAACGTTATTCAATTGGCCAATTAAACTGTTTGTTTCAGTTTGAATAGTGACTATAAGTACAAATATTTATAAAGATGAAGAAAATGCCTTTGTTGCAATGAGAGTATTGTCAAATTTGCATACTGTAAAATACTTTATTATCGCTTGGAAACAATTTTCGCTACTTTCGATGAAGGAATGATTCAGTGAAAATAAAATCCAGTGAATATATCTGTTTTCCTATATTTTACATTCAACTTGTCAAAAATCAGTGAAAATATTTTCCATACAAAACACCAAAAAGTCATTTCAGCGAAAATTAATTCCAGCTAAAATTAAGTAATTTTACAGTAATATGATAAAATACATGTGTCTTGCGAGTAAAAGAATGAAATACTTACAATATCAACATAGAACCATTTTTTATGTCCACTAATCATACAAATAATATTGTCCACTGTGTCCATGTGTAGAAAAGATTTAGTTCCACCATTGCTGAACCACAACACAGCATCCTAAACAAAGTACCACAAAATTGACTGTCACTGCATTTATATATCAAGAATTATGTCAGCATATCAAGCACTCACAAGAATGAGATGTACCGGTATTCCTATTTACACTAGCTGATTGGTAATGTAGATGGTACTCAGATGCAAATAGGTCAGTATGAAAATGTTTTCATAAAATATGACTTCTACCTTAGCTACTAGAGTGCCATCCACTCTAACCTAAGCTTTACCAGTGTCACCCACTTTCACCTAAGCTTCCCTAGTGTCACCCACTCCCACCTAAGTATCCCCAGTGTCACCCACTCCACCTTAAGCTTCCCTGGTGTCACCCACGTACTCACACCTAGAATCCCCAGTGTCACCCACTCCAACCTGAGCTTCCCTAGTGTCAAACACTCCCACCTAAGAATATCCAGTGTCACCCACTCCAACCTAAGTTTCCTAAGTGT